ACTTGTTGGATGTATTCTCATTAATCTTGCCATTAAGTGGTGTTTTACTACTTGGTGACTGTGTACATCTTTGTGTGCAATCTTCATCCATAACCGTTGGATAGCGCGTGTGAACTTACCTGGAGACAGCTGACCAGGCCGGAGTGAGCACGTTTCGAGTTCCTGTTACCTGGTGATAACCAATTGTTTTTTGCATGAGAGTCAACGGAGAGTAGTAGCAGCGGGGGAGTGAAGACGACGCTATGGCCTCACAGGATTCGCGCGACCGGGGTGATCGGGAGCGTGAGAGAGGCGACTGAGACCGTGAGAGAAGGGACAGGGAACTTTCCCAGGAGGGTAGCGAACGGAGGGCGTATCGGCCCCCAACATGTTTTGCATGCCAGGAAGTTGGGCACTATGCCAACCAGTGCCCCAACCGAAGCAAGCGTTACGCGAGTGCAAGACCATCTACGTCTTCAGACTCCAGACGACCACGTTCTCCAAGGCGCCATGATGCGGGGAAACGGGAACCTCCTCTGGATCCTGAGATTCAAAGTACAATTGCTAGACTTGGTAAGAGCGTGGCGGTCATGGAAGAGCACTACGCAGCGGTACGCGAGAAGAAGGAAGCTAAGAGGAAGAAGAAATTGGATCATGAGGAGGAGGAGCGGCGAGCCGAGGAAGAGAGAGCTCGACTGGAGGAGCAACGTGCTAAAGCGGAGAAGAAGGCGTTGAGGAAGAAGTTGGAGAAGCAAAAAGCGGATGAGATGCGGGCTGAGATGCAGAAGGACATGCATATTCAACTGGCGATACAGGTTAGTGAACTGGAGGACCACCTAGTTCAACGTGTACATCAAGTGATTGCACCGGCGCCTCCACCCAATCTCGAACGTGGGAAGAAGAAGGTTACTTACGTGTCGGAGGAGGTACCATCGAGCACTGAGGAAGGTAGTGACACGAGTGTCACGCAGGAATTGAGCGTGAAGACTCAACGTTTGGCGATCTCCGAAAAAAGGAAGCGTGGACCTGAGCCAGTTTTCGAGGAAGTCAGCCCTCCGATGGAATTGCCCGCCAAGAGGACGCCCCAGCGCGGCATACTCAAGCCAGTCAAACTCTCTGGCCGTTTGACCAGGTCAAAGTCCAAGAAAGCTGGAGGTGGTCTTACCCCGACTTCAACAAAGAAGAAGATCGCTACGCCTTTGTCCAAGAGAAGAACTCCGACGAGTGCGAAGACTCCGGTGTTGACTCCTTCCGCGAAGTCCTCCCTGGAACGTATGTGTTATCGTGACAGTATTCTGCGGGAGCTCAAGGATTTGGACGCTACGGAATTGCAGCACATCTGTCGCGAGGAAGGTATTCACTACGATAAGAAGGTTGACGCTATATTCGATATAGCGGATCACCGCACCGAGGTTGCTTTCTCCAATCCTTCAACGGTTGCTGAGGAGGTTATTCGGATTGCCGATTCGGAGGGCACGGCCGCTGGCTTGGAGGAAACGCCCGCCGTCGATGAATGAAGAGCTCCTTCCATATCTCAGTTATGGAAGCTTTGCCGGTTTCTTACTCACTTGTGCTGTGAGACCCTAAAGGTTGAAAGGTCTGTTGAGAAGGTGCTCCGTCTTGTCTTTCTGCTGCTAGCCGTGAGAGGCCAGATCAGATGGGCTCAGAAGTGTGTCCCTAACTGGCTGAACTTGTATAATCGCCATGGCCTGGATCTGACTCATTGTGTGTATGTAGGGATTTCCCCCTTTTGTAAATCCTTGTATGTGGGCAAGTCCATTCGTGATGTAGATACACGTTGGAGGGAACACATTTACTGTTGTCGTAACCGCACGCAGTCGCATTTTCACCGTTGGCTTGCTAGTTTCGGGATTGGCAACTATCTGCTTCAGCTTATAGATATCCTCGATGGGTGTGATCTGGCGAAACTTGAGAGTACGTACATCAAGCTCTGGTCGCCTTTCCTTAATACTACCGGCTGTAGTAAGCGGGCTCATACCCTTACGAGGAATAAAGCTGGCAGGCAGGAACGATCAAGGATTGGTGGGGTTCCGGGTAGTAGTGTTGCTACTTCTTGGAAACCCGTCCGTTTCAGGGTACTATCATGCGCCAACTGGCGCGTTGACTTTTATGATTTTTTTGACGAAATCTTGAAATCGGGCAATGGCTGTGTGGATTTCTGTACACAGGAGGGTAATCTGTGGCAACCGGGATGGCGGATATTGTTGAAGACCTTTGGGGAGACTAAAATTGTTTCTGAAACTGTCACATTCTGTCTTAAGGAATGCGAGTCGCTTTTGCAATTGGGAGGTTCCTTTTCTGTTTTGCATGTCTGTAAATGGTCGCCTAGGTGTGGATACCTTAAGAAGATCCTGATTCAAATTCTTCAGAACCCTCGGCAGATTTTCGTAATTAGCAACTGGAGTATGCGGTCATTCTTACGTATCTATCGTGTGATTAAGGATTTCTCGAGGAAATCAACTCGGAAATATTTGCGAAGGCTGGTCTCTCGGTGTTTTCGGACTCGTTTCGGATTAAGCCTTAACGCGGATTTGATTTTCCGATTTCGCTTTGATGACCGTATCATTATTGCTGAGGTCCGGAAAGTTGTGAATGATGCCTTAATGAAGTTGGATTTACCGTTATGTTTCTTGCATCGAGCTAGGAAGAAAATTCGGATAGTGGGAACTAAAAACCCCACTATTGCCGATATCTTGCACAATATGCGTAGTCTATCGACACGCCCTGTGCTGACCTGCACTTGTACAGGTCTGGATCTTCCGTGCTCATCTGAGCACGTGTTGTTCAGACTTAGCGAACTCGAGGGGATTCACCCCTTACTGAGTAACGCTAATAACGTGCCGTGTGCACGTATCCAGGATCGTTTACCGTCTTTCCGGGATGAACTGCGTTCTGGTTTTGCTAACTGGATCAACTGTAAAGAACCCGCACCGTATTTCTGTATTGATGATCTCCGATGCTGTTTTTCTGCCACTGTTGAGAATAATCGTTGCCTGCATTTGGATGCTGTCCTGGAGATTAGACAGAGATTTGAGGGCCTGGTTTGTATGGCCGTTGACCGTAACCCTGGAGAAAAGGTTATCATGTGTCTCTTCATATACTATGAAGCCATGATGAGTACGTTTGTGCTAAATCCTGGCTATCGTATTATCAACCATTCTGATAGCATGGTACTCTGGGAACTCCGGGAGGATGTTGTTGCATCTGGGCTGAAGGGCTTTTCCCGCTGGGATAGCAAAGGGAAGTTTGGTTCGGCTTATATTTTGCCGAAGCATAAGGACTTGAGCCGTTTTCGGCCTATCTGCCCATCCTTTCAGGAACCTATGGTTCGTACAGGCAGGACCGTGGCGAAAGCGCTGAATCATTTGTTGAATACGCTCCCAAAACATTGGCACTTCAATCTACCGGCAGTCTCTATGTTGACTACACGATTGGATTCTGCCAATCGCAGACTGCTCAGTTTGGGTACGGATAGAACGATTTCCTCGTATTCTTTCGATATCAAGGATATGTTCAGCAAGCTCCCGCATGCTGACATACGCCGTGCGTTAGACTGGCTCATTGACTAACATATGGGGAAAGGCCATGACTTTGTACGTGTTAATACCAAGGGTAAGGGTGCAAGTTTTGGACTGACAACTGAATTTCGAGCTGAATCACACCTACTTCCATGCTACTGGTGTTCTGTTGAAACAGGATTTGGGCATTCCTATGGGAAAGAGCACCAGCCCGCCCCTCGCCTGCATATTGTGCGCCTATGCTGAATATTGCTTTACCTGCAACATTGGGAGGCTTATGCGTTGTGTTTTTGCCTTAAGGCTCATCGATGATGTGCTGCTTGTCACCTCCACTCGTGACGGTGACGATAGTGCTATTATGTTGGCATTTGCGGAATGTTACCCCAAGAATCTTCAGGTTAAACGTACCGACGATGGCACTGGTTCATTGGATTTCCTCGGCTGCCAGGTCCGTACCTCGCAAACTTACCCTTATCTGGGTTGTGTGCAAGTCTCCCGTAACGATGACTGTCTGGGGACCTCTGATCGATTGCGGGTGCTTAATGGGCAGTCTTATCTTTCTTGGGGCAGTAAAAGGCAAAAGAGCGCGATCATTGGAGGCTATCTCCACCGCATTGATCAAAACACATCTGTTAGAAGTGAAATTCCTGCCCGTGTGCAAGCATTAAGACGGGAGCTGGCCTTGAAGGATTTCCCGGATCTGTTCTTTAAACAGGTTTTGAAGCGTTTTTCTGTCCGGCGTGACAACATCTGGAGGCAGACAGTTAGTCTTCTGTACTGATTGGTCTTTGACTTGAACCTCTCAACAAATGAGTTTTCCCTATTTTGGTCTATTTGATAAGGTCTGTTTGCTTGACCCTTTGTGGTGTGGATTTTGTAGCAGTAGTTTCGTGGTCAGAATTTTGCATAGTCCTTGTTACGGTTTTGTGTGAACCTTGCTGGTATTTTGTAATACTAGGTTGTGCCTGATCAATTGGATAGGGGGCTTCCTTCCGGTTAAGCCTGTCTTGTTAAC